TTGTTGTGTGTGCCTTATCTTTCGAGCTACAGCAGAGATGATGTGCAAACGGGCCTGGATGTAAAACATTTTCCCTGATCGGTGACTTTGAATAGCATTGGCTGTTTTTCAGAATCGCTCGGGCATTAAATGTGTTTCAGACAGATAGTTTTTTTCAGAAATATTTCCAGCCCGTGCTTCTTAACTGGCTAATGGGTTATCAAAGGCATTACCATCATGTTTCTAAATTGCTTTGTATCAAATAATGGTGTTTTGGAAAAAGAGCTTTCCATTATATGACTAAGAATACAGAAGATATATATGGCCCTTGTTATAGTGACATACAAGCCTAGTACCTGTCATGGCCTCTATATTTTTCTTAGAGTGCTTTGAACTTTGTCTTATTCACATCATTGTCATAATAAGGTGACAGACAAAAATATTAAAAAAAAAATAGCCTAGATGAATTTGTTAAATTTGTTTAGCTCATGTTCAACTTTTTTTTTAAAAGTGCTTCTGGTCATGTGTACAAATACATTGTTTCTATGTTTGTTTGCCTGTTCTTAACAGCTACACCCTGCAGTGTTGCTGCCCACAGTAACAACATTAGTAATTAAAAAGAGAGTGGAAATAGAAAGGGAGCGGCCTGAATAATGCAACTCTCAGGTACAACAGGGAAAAAAAGAAATATGTTGACAGAAAAAAAGCAACCTTGGCAGATAGATGCAGGGCGTCATTTCTTGTCAGGCAGTGACATGTAAATTTAACCTTAATGAGTAATGGAGAGATGGCTGCACACTTAAATGGCTTGTATTTGGGAAACAAAGCAATGACACAGTGATGAACTTCCTCATTAATACTTAAGCTTAATTAAAGCCCACACCGCTCTCTTGAGTACTCTGGCAGGAGGAGGTGAGGGGGGAAGCAGCGTGTGTGTGTGGGTGTGTGTGTGTGCACATGTGTGTGAGCATGTCTGCATCAGTGGGTGCTTGAAGCAAAGGAGGGGGTCTGCGTACTTTGGGGACCCCCAACCCTGCTCTCCTTCCACCCCCCGTTAGGAAACACTTGCTGTAAAGTGATAGGTGGCCAGGTGATGAGACTTGAGAGTCCCTTGGCTCAGCTGGCTGTCTCCTGCTATACTCTCTTTACCATCTGGGATCTTGTTTTGACACCCTGGAAAAAGGAGGAGTGAACTCAAACAGCCTGACAGGACCATATGCGGTATACAATGTTTGGGTCTCAGCACCCGGGATGCATACTTGTGAAGGAAGGAGAGCTTGTGATTCAATCTGATTAGGTAGCGACATGGGACTGGTAACAGAAAGGAAAACAGACAGACAATAAAAGACAAAGGCACTTAAATGCTTCAGTGCAGAGCAGATTTGGCAAACACACTCTTATGCAATTTGTATTGAACACTAAAGCCAAAATTATTTCCTTCTTCCTGTTTTTTCTCATTTTGATTTTTTTCAAGCAATTAGCTAATTTCTGGATGGGACAATAAGGCTTTAAAAAGACATTTAGACAGAGCCCGGTGAGTTGATCACCTTCTGTTACAACAGATTTTCCTTTTTACTTTTGAGGCAGTTTCCTTCAGTGGTGCATTTATTATTGGATACTCTGTCAAACTGTTGCATTGAAAGCAAAAATGACTGCCAGGGAGCCATTTAATGATTCTCAAAGTTAATGGTTTAGTGCATACTGATTTTTGAGTTTTTCTTTAGCTTTCTACTACACTATTTCAGTTATGCTCAAAAAAGCATATATTATTCTGGCTTTACAGTTCACTCTTTACTTGAACAGTCTGTAAAGATTACAGCTTTCACCAGACTAGCTTGCTTTCATTTCGTCTGGCTAACTATCACCACTCAATCCACTTTATCTCAGTTATTTCTCAACCTAATTTTTTCAACATGCAGGGGTGCCTCCAGGATTTTTAAAGTGGAGTGGCACAAGCTGTGCCAATAACCAGTAAAAGGAGGGTCCCTGGAAAATTTGAAAGTCTTAAATGAAAACCCAGGAAAGCAGAAATATGTGCACAGACCTGCTTCCTTAAACATGGATTAGAAGATGTCGCTACCTCCATAATAAGACAGCAGCTGCACTGAATCACACACAAGCAAGGTAAGGGTAACATAATCTAGTTAGAAAAATCAAAATATGTTACATTTTACTGAGTGCTAGAAGAGTTAGACTGGTTGGCAACTACCTACCAAGCAGCGGTTGTTAGGGAAAAGTGAATATTGCTTAAAGGTCTCTGGAGGTTGCTGTCAGTGGCTGAAATTGAAATTGATTGCCAAAATCCCAGTTGTAAAGACTTAGAGACCAGTCTGGTAGAGACCAGTCTGGTAGAGACCCCTGGTAACGACCAATCACATGTTTTCCTGTTGCTGAGTGGACGCTGGAAGTTGCCTGCTGTTGCTAGGTGAAAATAGTTGCACTATAGCACTGCATCGACAACCTCCTTCAAATTGCTTTGGTCTCTAGAAGATTGCAGCCATTGCCCATTGAAAGATGTTTAGTTGTGTGCAAACAATAGCCAGCTATTTGCTAAGCGGTGGTGATACTGTGAAACTTTGCCCTCAAAGCAAAATTAGCATATTTTGAAATGTGATGGTTTCATGATTTAGGCACGGCATTTACTATGGTCTGTGTTTCCAATCTGTGTCGCACTTTTCAAAGTTTCATTACTGCTCCATGGTTAGTTACAGAGTGTGCAAAAAGTTGGCGTCTTCCGTACAAACTACGGGTGACTGCGGTAATCTGCTAGCAATGAAAGCAATCACAAAGAGCTTTTTAGTAGAGCTCCCGCTTTTCCACCAATTTCACCAAACAACAGCCAGCAATCCACACACCCACTAGCAAACAGTCACGGAGTGCTCATTTTTCCCTAGTGACAGTGGTTGCCAGGTGGCACTCAACTGGTCTGTGTGACTGAGGCCTTAGAGGACGACAGGCAGTGGACCAAACCACTGTAAAGTACTGTATTCACGTATTGTTTCCCATTCAGGATTCAACTAGTAGCTTGATATACTATTATTTAACATTACATAATTATCTATTTACAGTGCCTTGATGAAGACAGTTGTTGTACACGGCACCTCTGTTAATAAGGCTTAAAAGGTGGCTGCCGGTCAGGAAGAGGCAGAATGTACAAGGAACCAGGACTGAAACTTCGGACTGTTTGTATCACAAATTCAGTTTCAGTTTCACAGTCAATACACCCCTGGTTGCATTTCTGCTCTTTCAGTGAACTGCAAAACAATTAGCATAAGGAAGGGTACTGTAGTTAAAATGAATAATCACTGGATGTACAAAAAATAAAACTAGCTAAAGTATAAACAATATATAGAGGTTAATTAGGGGGTAAATATCAAGCCTGAGGAAACTTTGGTGAAAGTGTATGGAGATTGTGATATATATGTGAGTGAGTGTGCTTTTATTGCTTAAAACTAGCACTGAAATGAATAAAATAATTACAAGAAAACATAAAAAATGCACTAACACAGTCTGTGCATGTGAATGCGGTCTTCTTGGAACACATTAACAGCTTTAAATGCATTTTTTGGAGCAGTATCTAAGGGCTACCTGCAATACAAGTTTCTCATAACTGCAGTCTTTTCATCATTATCCAAAAATAATGCACTTACACCACTGAATTATGAGGGTTTACTTTGAATCTGGCAGCGATTGCCTAATCCTGTGCTATTTCCCTCTGTATCACTTTTTTTTCATGCTGTGCAGATCTTGTGATTTGCTCAGAGCATCATGTTGTTTCTGTAACCTTTTAAACAGCAGCGTTTCATCTGACAACCTCCCAGTCACAAGCTACTGGCCACTCGCCACATGCCAGCAGATGCCATGAACAGATCAGCTTTCTCTTTCTTAGCTTTGCCTTATACAATCAACATCACATGAGCACAGCTGTAAGAAAGCGCATACATACTCATGTTCGCAGGCTTTTTGTTTTTTCTTAAGCACCCTAACCTGCATGTTTTTAAAGATTACTGCAACACGCTATCAAAAATGAGCTGCATAAAGTTTCAAAAAAATACATAACTGTGGTAGTCTCATTTCTCTCGCTAGTAGTCCTCTCTGCTCAACCCTTACTTTAACTCGTGACTAACAGATTTGTCTGCAGGATACAGCAGGCATCAGCGATTTCCATCAGAGAGTTGTGAAATCTATTTTTTTTTATCTCACTTTAGAGAAAATGAATGTGACATCTAATGTGGTCCTACGGCTAAATGTGATAATTGACCCACTTTTTGAAAAGCTCCAATGTTATTTATCAAAGTTTAAGGCTGAAGGTGAACTTTGTCATCAAGCCACAACAGTTATAGCATGCTAGGGGAAAAAAAGTTTTCAGCATCCAAATGAACCATAACGGAAAAGAGGTAGGCACTGAGAGGAAGAAATCAGTGTTGTTCTTATTATCCTTCTGTAAGCTTTCCTAAGTCTCAGCTGCACAGTGTTTCTGTTATGACAAACTATATAAGGCCATAGAAGTGTGTTCCACATGAGCCACTCACATTTTCTTATATGTGAGCTACTCTTTAGGGAATAAGTTAGTTTGTTTGACTAAAGACTTGAACACGTTTTCCCTGACTGATCATTTCACTGTGTAGGACTTGGATTAAGCAAGCAGCGGAAGAAGAGATAATCAGCAGTTTTAGAGGAGAGCATGAGAGTTCAAACAAAGGTCTGCGGCTGTCTTAGTCTCAAGTCTGTGTTGACATAACAGAGAAGGCGTACCTTTGGCTAGTCTAGTAGATGTCTGTGACATGTGCTGGATGATTTCAGACTTAACATGTCCTCATTTACCTGAAATCTCGTCACGAGCTACCAGAATGAGTCCAGTTCGGTTAGTCTATGTTCTTAACTCTTCACAATGCAAAAATCTGGGCTGGTTTGAGTTGTTATTACAAACTAAATGCTACATTTTCTTTGTCATGAAGTCATTTTTCTCATGATCTAATCCCCCCCCCCCCTACTTTTCTTCCCTTTTCTCCTCCACACAGAGCCGTATGGCCGAGAGCTTGCGTCTGTTCGACTCCATCTGCAACAACAACTGGTTCACCAACACGTCGCTCATCCTCTTCCTCAACAAGAAGGACCTGTTGGCTGAGAAGATAAAACGCATTCCCCTGACAGTGTGCTTCCCCGATTACAAAGGTCAAAACACCTACGAGGAGGCAGCTGTCTATGTGCAACGGCAGTTCGAGGACCTCAACCGCAACAAGGAGACCAAGGAGATCTATTCGCACTTCACCTGTGCCACCGACACCAGCAACATCCAGTTCGTGTTTGATGCTGTCACGGACGTGATCATCCAGAACAATCTGAAATACATTGGGCTATGCTAGGACCTGACACGGGTGGGGTGGGGTGGTGGTAGGGGGTGAAAAGCGGGCTGCCGTTAGCCTGCCGCGAGGCTGGATAAACAAAGGCATGTTAGCCTGCCGGGCAGTTTATCTCTTTGAAGAGGGGGCAACAGAGGACTGGAAAGGAAATGAGTTAGTAAGACAGTGAGGGATGGACAATACTGTAGATTCAAGTGTTTCAATGGAAACAACAGAGCTGATGGTCCATGGTTGAGGTGGGATTTCTACCCTACATGTTTGCACTGAATATGAGTATGCAGAGACACCCAAACACATGCACACCAACACGCATCCTTATAGTTTGCTCACACGTGCGATCTTCAGTCAGACACTGGTTTGACAAGGCAACACTGGAAAATTTTTAGAAAGCTGCCCCCAACTGCCTGTCAAACCTGAAACCTGAGTCAGTTAATGCTGCTTAATTGAAAATAATTTCTGCAGAATCAATGCTCTCTTTTGGCTTTTTACCCAAACAATAGTAAACGGCGAGGGCACCTGAGGAGACACAGATATAGAGACAGAGAGAAAGCCTGTATTTCTGGGGAAACAAGAAGTCAGTAAACATGACGTCACAGGTTTTCTGTCTAAAAGAGGAAACTGCCACAGTCTAAAGTCGAAGTGAAATATGTTTTCTACGCACCATTTCTGTTCTTTCCTTATCAGCTGTCTGTTGTTGTTCTTTTCCTCTCTTTCTTTTATCTTTTTGCGCTTTAAAAAAAAAAGAAAAGAAAAAAAGAACATGTCTCTCAAACCAGCTTTTACAGCAGGTCCCTGACTCAATACCAGGAGTATGTTACACTCGGAAGAGTCAAAAGTATTTTTCATTACTGTTTCCAGCAAGAGACAAAAAAAAAAGCAGTGCCAAGATCAGTTTGTAAATAAATCTGGATCCCATCCTTTATGTTAATTTTTTTTTCTTTTTTTTGGTTTAGTTTTTATGGATGAAGACATTAAATCATGCATGATTTTGTTACTTTGGGATACTAATATATTTTCTTTGGGATTATGTTCCTCTTTTCCTAGGTTCTAAATAATATATTCCCAAAAATATATATTAAAGTCAAACACTGTGTACGATTGTACAGTTGTCAGAGAGGAATCTATTGAAAAGAGTTATATAAATATAATAATGATGATCAGAATTTTTATGGTGACAATGCTAACGGCGATGATGAATATACTGGTGATGAAGATAATCTCACTACAGAAGCTTGGGGGTGAAAGGGGAGACTGTAGAAGAACCTGAAAACAAAGAAGCAAACTTTCAAAGTTCAATCATCCTTGCATTATCTAAATGGAAATTGTTAAACCAGTCAGTCAGTATGATGTGTAAATATACTGTAAGGTACACTCTTTGTTCAAACAACATGAAAAATAACGGTTGAGTTGGGATGCTGTGAGTGCGATAAAGAGAGAGTGAGAGACAGAGGAGGAAGATCCCACTCCACTCCTCCTCTTACCCTTTCTTTTTTTAGTTCAGAGAACAACTCAGCCAAGGGCTTGACTTTACAGGATGTCCACTTCAACAACAGACTAAAACGATGAAACAAACAAACAAAAAAAGACGTATAAAAGGACAATAACTATTAATAAAACAACTTATGCAAATTTTTATGGTGTAGTAAATGTGTTTTTGGGTGGTGATTGTGTCAACAGTGTTTTAAATGTGTTCGGGAGGGGAATGTTTATAAAGAGGACGGACTGCCGCAGGCCCTCCGTATTCTTTCGTAATTATGCTGCATCGAGTGATTTTTTGCAACTCGGAATAGAGCACCCTGTCTGAAACTTTGCTTCCATCTTCAGTGTCCAAACAATGACAAAAAAGTGTTTGTCCTCCTCGTACAATGTAGCCACTGGGCCAAGCAGAACTCGGACCTAAAGTATGCAATTAAATCACTGCAGAATGAACTCGGCCTACGTGTGATTGGGTGACGGTGCACAGCAGCACGCAGACTTCATTCTAATTAGTGTATAAACTCCAGCATCACCAGGTGGGCTGATAGAGTCCACAAATATTTTTGGATTTTTGCACTTCTTAGTTTTTAGTCAAGTAGTCATTTTAAACTTCCCATACTCTAAATGAAGAAGATATGAAAATACTTTCACTGTATTCAAACCTATAATAGGATGATATGACCCTGTGGCCATCCTAGTACGCTCAAGTGGAACAAACTTTTTCGTGTTTGATTTAGCATTCAGTGTGTCACACAGGGGACCAAGCGTTAAATAAAACTACTACTATTTTGCCTTTTACATCCTGCTCCTTTCATCATGATCTACATCCATGTGTGGGAAATGTCTTCAGGTCATTGGGATATTGTTTTGTGGACTGATTGAACCAACAGTGGGAATCTGTTTGAGGGATGAACATAAATAAAATTCATTTCTGAGAAGGCTGAAATTGTGCCTTATGACTGTCATGTGGTTGGAGTTGGTGCCAACTTTGAAAACTGAGAGAGAAGTTGCTGCAAAAAAAAAAAAAAAAGGTCAAAGTCCTGCATTTCTTTCATTAATTTGTTTATTAATTCAAATGAGACTGGAGTTTAAATAATTTTTTTTTCAAAAAAATTTGAAGTACAAACTGGTCGGCCTTATGCTGTCAGAGGGTATTACTAAGCAGCTCATTGTGACACTGACAGAGGTTTTTAGAGAAAAGTAACACAAAAAAGCAGTAAAATGTTTCAACACACTCAACAAACCTTTGGTGATGTGTACAGATCTGTGTTTTGTGGTCTAATAACTCTTAAGAAATAGCGCTAGAAATGATCGCAAACAGTTTAGCTTGCCAGGACTCATGACAGCTTAAAATTTCATTTTCTAAATACAGTAAAAACAAAAATGCACTCTTGTTGGCAAATCCCATTAGTTTTAACAATTTTTGAAATACTCACAGCAGTCCATCTGGAAACCAGTAATGTTCAAATTAATATAAATCACCTTTCATCCTCATTTGATGCTCGATTTGACCTCCAGCAGGTCGTCTGGCCCAGGTCTACGTTTCTAAATGCATTGAGTTCAGAGTGATAGACCAAGAGTTTGTCACTGAACACGCTGGTAAGTATGAAAATAATGTGAATCACATGCTGCCTTTGTAGCCAGAACAAAGTCCGATTTTGGACTGACCTGTCAGACAGCAGCCTTTATGATCAAAATAGCTGGCATATTTCATCCCTGCAGAAGAAACTAGAAGAAATGCTCAGGACTTCACCAATACATGTGACATGATATTTTTTTCAGTACATTGTGTATATACATTGTAAAAAGATGCAAAAATAATTATTCCCCAAGAAAATTAACAAAGAGTGATCTAGAGTAACAAAAATTAGTATGGTAACAGGGCTAAAATAAAGATGATGGAAGGTTCCCTAACTTTTTAATGGTCAGTGTTCCCAACATTTTGAGATATTTAAAAAAAGAATATAGAATCTTGTGAT